AGAGACCATCAGTGAATGCCCGTGAGGTGACACTTCCTCATGTAAGGTCACAAGAACTCCACACAGCAAGTGGTGGTATCCTTATCAAGAGCACAGGCTCAGAGCAGTTCAGGAACTGACCAAGAGGACTGAGAGGGACCTTACATGGCGTCAGGTTTGAAGTCCAGACCTGTGACCCTAAAGGCAGAGCTCTTTCCTCCCACCCTCTGCATAAGTTAAAATGTGTGTTATCATCTCTGAAGAGAGTAAGTTTGATATTAGGTGTGTGACCTACACCAGACTCCTGTCATTTACCTGGGGTGAGACTCTACAGAGGGACCATGATTTGATTTCTTCTCCTCTGAGTTTTATTACTGTGACACAGCTCATGTTTCACGTCATCTTTCTTATCAGTTCAGACTGCTTTTAGAAGTGGATTTTTGTGTTTTGTGTTTTATTATGAACTACTGCTGAATTCATCTGCATCACACTAATCTATCTTAAAAAGAGTTTCACAAGTGGAGTAAGAGGGCCTTTGGCCGTTTAAGGCATTTTCAAATACCCGTTTTTCCGTCTAATCTGTAGTATAGATTTCTAAATGCTGGCAGCAAACCCACTCATTTGAAGTGTCCTCGTGATTTCCTCTCAGGAACCTGCCACATTAATGCCCTCTCAGTTGGTTCACTCTGTACGTGCGTGCATAAACCAGACACTTCCGAGTGTCACAGTCCCTGCCTCGGTAAACAATTCACAACTAAAGAGCGGGGCAGAAGCAGAAACAGCTTGTCCTGTTATTTCTCCAAGGTTTTCATTAGTTCAGAATAACATGGGCTATTTGGTATTATCTAGAGAATTCTGTTGCTTGAGAGCACTGGATGGTACCTCTTTTATATTGCTATTAAGTGATTAGCTCTATTCGCTCTTCTTTCAAGTCACCTTGTTGAAATTTTTTTTGTAAAACAGTGAACACAGACCAGCAGCCTGTCTGAGGAATGGCATTTGGTGGATGCCACTGAGAGCCTTGGGGGCTGCAGCAGAGGCATGGGAGCATGGAGGGCAGCAAGGCTCAGCTCAGGTCTCCCCATTAGTGTAGCTAAGGAATAAGAGTTCGAGTCAGACAGGATAAAAGTCATCAGGCCTACTGGAGAAGAAAAAGAAAAGTGGTTTTCTAAATCTCTTGAAAAAAATTGTGTTACAGTTTTCTTTTTCACTGGAGGGAAGGAAAAGGCGGTGCAGTAAAAAGAAATAACAGTACATAAATTTTCAGTCTCAGCAGAGACAAAGGACTGTCACTGAATTGAATCACTCTAGAAATGTTTGTGAAAGACTAAAGAGGAAAAGCATAAAGAACCACAGGCTCCTACTTTCGCCACACTCACTTTAAGTAGAACTGGAGAAGAAATTACTTTTTTATTTTCTATTTTTTTGATTGAAGGAGAAAAAACTGTCAGGTACACTCAAACACATCATATGAAATGAAATGAAATAATCCAGTGAGAATCAAATACACCTTCCCTCTTCTAATCCCAGTGGGCACAAAACTACCGGGGGGTCTAGTTAGTGACATCTGTTCCAGTGGAATGAGGATGGGCAAGAGTTGTGAGCCCCGGGCTTCAAACCCAGCCCCCAGCCAGGCTTTTGTGACTCAGGTGGTGTGTGGGGTGTCATTTCAGTGCTCCCTGCACCTGCTAATTTGGGGATAGGAATGTAATCTTAATATTGAGTTGTATTAACTCTACGGGGGTGTTTTCTCACTTCCTCTCTTCTTTCTTTCTTCAAGGTCCAGTTAAAGAGCGAAGAATCCAAAACCTTTGCCATGAAGATTCTCAAGAAACGCCACATTGTGGATACCAGACAGCAGGAGCACATCCGCTCAGAGAAGCAGATCATGCAGGGGGCTCATTCCGATTTCATAGTGAGGTAAGGACCTGCCCCAGGGCTGACGCCCCCACCTCCAAGTGGAAGATCCACCACTCAGTCTCTGCCGTTTGTGTTCACTGTCACACAATGGAACAGATTTTTTTAAAATCAGATTTAAAGAAAGTTTTGACTGGAAAAAAAAAACAACTTTTTTTTTTTTTAAATGAGAATCAGATTCTGTTAAAAGAGCATGTTTTTCCCAAAGGAGCTGTCAGAGTTCCCAACAGTCCATTTTTATCCTGTTATTCCAGAGCTCTACATGGACCTCTGGTGGTTGAAAGACAGAATATCAAAAATCAAGCTACTTTATTTACCTTGAATTACTTTAATATTGTTTGAAGATTTTAAAAAATGAAATGACTAGTCCATTTGAGAGCACTACTAAGAAAATAATGGGGATTTTTTAATATATGCAGAAACTTTTCTAGTTAATTTGCCAGTGGCACTTGCTGAAAATATAACATGAATTTAAGTGAACAGTGCACAAATTTCATACACATCTATATTTTGAAGTGTAATCTACTTTATATCCACATACACGGCATATTTATGATCACTGAATATTGCTCAAGAGTGCATGCCTGAAACATCAGCCAAGTGGGAATTAGAGGAATCCTAAGAAGTCTGCCTGGTCCATAATCGTTTGGATTAATCCATTTCAAGGGAGAGATCCCCCCCATCCCCACCTAAGGTGTGTAAGTGAACCATCACCTTCTTTTCCCTGTTTGTGAACTTCCGTCTTTCTCATTCTTTTGACAAAGAGTCAAGCTTGGCAAATCAAGAGTAACTCTCATCTGGGCACTCAAAACATTTACATGCTTTTAAAAGACAATGTTGTTTATAGCTGTTTTCTCATTTGCAATTCACAGACTGTACAGAACATTTAAGGACAGCAAGTATCTGTATATGCTGATGGAAGCCTGCCTAGGTGGGGAGCTCTGGACCATTCTCAGGGATCGGTAGGAGTTTTAAGAAATTTCTATCATGTCTTTAAAAACATAGTTGACTGTGATGGTTTGTAATAAGAGTCAGTTATTATAAAGTATAAAATCATACTTACATTTTACTTGTGCTCATGTTTCAAGATGTAAATATGGGTCACAACTTACTATGCACATATGATTTATGATTTTATGATTTACTGTAAACATGAAACTCACTCTGTTTCAGATTTGTAACTGATAACAGGATTAGTCCACCATAAAAATCGTACCTCTCAGCATACAGAGGCTTTAGTTTCACTTGATTATCAGAATCAGACAACTATATACCTAGAAGTCAATCCACTACTGTAACATGCAGAGAGTTGAAGTATTTTATGGTTGCAACATGGAGTAGCCATCAGCTTAATTGTTCCTCTCCTTCTCCAGATGGGCAGTCTGTCTGTCCTGACACTGAGAGTTTTTTCCCAAGTAACTTTTCCCTCTACCTTTATATTGCTCTTTGGTTTCAAAAGTAACAGAAGTTGCTAGCTATCCTTTTCAGCCCTTACCTAGTTTGAGGAAGAAAATAAATCCACTTAAAAGCAGTATTTCGTGTAAACAATCTAATTTAGATTTACTTCTTGCAAGTAAAGTTGGTCTAGTTAGTGCTTATTTGCTTCTTTCAATTATGCATAATGAATTTCTATCTCCTGTTTATATAACCAGTAGAACTATCTTTTTAAAAAACTGTTATTCTATAAAATGTCCTGGGAGATTATTATCAACCCTAAATGTTTACTTTAAAAAAAAACTGCAATTTTCTGTGAATGATCTAATAACATTCAAGTCATCTTGGTCCTTTGAACATTGACCTTTAGACATCTCTTTTTTTTCTTACTTGTTATAGTCTCAACCCACAGACTCTCCTTCATTGGGTAACATCTTTCAAACTCAGTGTAGACAGTCCTGTTTCTTCTAGAAAGCTGTTATTTTTTTTTGACAATTTGTTACTTTGTAGATACCCCAGAATAGAACAAGTTGTTCTGTATTAACTATTGTTTTAAAGTCTCATTCCTAATTGTCTTGGTATGGTATTTTGTATCTTCCTTCACATTGCCCTTTCAGATCTCTTATTCCCATTCCTTACCTGTATATGTCAAATGGTTTTCTTTTTATCTTATTGTGTCCTTTTTAATTTCTTAAATTCAAGGTAAATAAGCATATAAGGGAATGTATCATTTTGGCATTAGGGAACATTAGTACTGATGAGTATTAGATCATAGGGTATTATGACATTACTGTTAGTTAATTTTTGGGTACAGATAATATGCCAGGCATTGCAATAGAGGTTGGCGATAAAAAGGATAAAGAGATACTGTCCCACTCTTCATAACTTACAGGCTACTGCACAAAGTTAATATTCTGATTTGTGAGTTAATGTCTGGTTTATCCTAATGTGCTTCTAATATATTATTTTTGACCTGACCTTTTAATCCACTGATTTATTTGAAATCTCTTTCCTACTTTGTTCTAATTAGAATAGGAGATTTGCAGGTGGGAGTAAACACGAAAGCAATAATGAACCACTTAAGGAAAGGAACAACTATTTTAAACTTCTATTAACTTCTTCAAATAGCCAACAATAGTAAAATTAGTAATAATAATAGTCAAATAGCCAACAATAGTAAAATTAGTAATAATAATAGTC